GGGGGGGAGGAGGGTACTGAGACAGTTTTCTTTGCCAACTCCTCATTACACATATGTAAACTATTTCCACAGTTGGGCCTCTTCCTCATGGGAGCCATCAACAACCTGCCATATGTAGTGGTCAATTCTGCTGCCAGCACCATAGCAGACAGGTCGGTCAGTTAGTCCCTAGAACTGATTTCAAATTAATCATAATTGTAATTAGCTATTTAACCCCCCGCCCTAAAAACAAACAAAACAACAATCAGGACCGGTCACTTCTCTGGGCTGCGGGCCCACAAGAATAGAATAGACTAAACATCGGATTCAATCTGTCCATTGTGCAGCGAGGAGCCCACATATTTGGAGCTCTGGCTGCAGAGATGCCCCGCCACGGAAGTCCGGCGGTGGCATCTACTTGGGGAGGATTCAGGGATGTTGGACTGCCTCATCCACTACCCAAGACAGGCGGTGGCCCTGGCGAAGAGCACGCTCTTCGGGGCTCCAAACATTTCGAACGGACAGGCAACCACACACACATACAACAAAAGCAAAAAAAATCCCCCAAAATTAGAGCTTTCTTTCTATCCCGATAGTGGTATTAATTTGACTAGTGTGCTTGACTCGAATCAGAATGCGGGCTTTTGACGGGTGCTCTGATGTGGTTTGCTCCTTTTTTCCTATCAAACATTTTTAGTCTGGATCTCTCCTTATTTTCTTTTTAAAATGTTGTTACACTCTCTTTGTAACACCTCTATTTTTTGGGCACTTACGTGATTACAATATTGCTTTGCAAGTGCCGTAAACTTTTACTAAAACTTCTAAAGAGTCAGGATCCACAAAGAACCTTTCTAAACCTGCCTGTTGAGGAGATTTGTACCCTATTGAGTCTGAGGACTACTGAAGATACCACTTCTTAATTAAATAGGGTTTATGAAAGGCAACAAATTGATCAGCCATCCACTAGTTCAGTCTATCAATAAATCTGTTAAACGGAAAATCTCCTGTACGAATGTGTTATCTGGTGAAACGTGTCGCAATCCTATGACTCTCTGAAAACTACTTTACGATTAATTATTATTAACATCATCACAATTACGTCCTACTACTTTTCTCATGTTTGGTCTTTTGCAGTTTCAACGAAAAAAACTTGGTTGGCGTTGTGTTCGGGGCCAATGTAGCTCTGTCTGTTCTCGTCAAAGGTAATGCATTTTTGGTCCAGCTCACCAGCCACAATAACCACTAAAATCTTTATGAGGAAAAAATAAAGGCAGTTAAAAGTACCCTTTTTTGTACTGATTTAAAAAAAAATATAATAGACACCTGGAGAGAAGTCAAAGAGATTGATTTCACAGACTGAAATTCATTTTATTGTCATTTAATCTACATGTGAATATTTATTTCACCAACAGATGAATTCATAGCAATCCGTGCATCAAAATATTTTCACCTGGTATGACTAGAATATACTCAGTAAAGAATTTTTTTAAAAAACATACAAAGAAGCATTTGCAGTATCTTACATTACACAAAGAAATGTATGTGAAGATGACAGTATGCCTATCTTAATGAAATGGACTCAAATAGAATAATAATAAGCAAATCTTTTAAGGCGCAGTGCCAAACCCATGGGCACATCCAATCCGTAGAACAATTCTGCCACCATGCAGTGGAATGAGGCGCTCGTTAATTTTTTTAGTATAGAGAGTTATTGGTATAATCTTAAAGCCTGTTTTTTTGTCTTGTGTTCTGTGAGGAAAATAGCCATCTATATTGAATAGAAGTCGAGATATTTGTGATTGAAGGAGGTGGGGGTCGCCTTGTTTCAGAAGTAAAATTAGCGAGAAAATGACCACCAAAGTTTTAGTGACTTCCAAAGCTTGAGAGTCCTTGGAAATTACGCATTTTCTTTTTTTTGTGTGCCTCATATCGACGAGTTCCAGTAAAATGTACACAAAACTAATATTATGCTTTATATGAACATAAAAGGTATTGAGATTTTAAGAAATCGCTTACAAATTCCAAAATGGCTGAGAAATTCCAATTTCTTTGATTTTATTATTTTGACAAGTGCCTGATTTTACCATGATGACTCTAATTATATCTGGCCCGCGAAAGGAGTCTAGATCGTCCATCCTGGGAGTCTCCGAAACGCAGAACCTTACTCCGAACATAAACTACGAACTAGTTGCCAAGAAAAGATGCCACTCATCTAGCGCTGACAAATCAGCATAAATGCGAAAGTTGGCTTGCCTTCATTTGTAATGATTTTTTACTTTTGTCAGTTTTAATTTTCTTTATCATTGTTTCAAAAATGTTTAGTTTTTCTGTTGAGTTTTGGCCCAAGAGCGATTGATTTTGGCAGCCCTCCTCTGGGGTATGTGTGAAAAGGGGCAGAAGATATTCGGAGACGTCTCTGGCGAGCACCCAGGAACTATTCGGAGACGCCCTCCCGCACACAGGTACACGACCTTGGGGGGATCAAACTGCGTATTGTGGGCTGCTGATCATCCATTTAGCCATTAAAACTGTCGCAAATCAATCTTTAAAAAAAAGAAATTCAATCTTAACTGCAGAATATCAAACTATGGGTTAAAACAGGACTTTAACCCACATATTTTTTACTCGATCTAGAGGCACAAAGCATTTTGATATGTTTATAACCGCTAGAGACGTCTGCAAAAATTAAATAGAGACTGCGGTGAAAGAGGTGCCGGGCAATGAGCTTTAAAAGTAAAAATACGTACATTAAGCCCCCCCCCCCCCTCTCTCTCTCTCTCTCTCTCTCTCTCTCTCTCTCTCTCTCTCTCTCTCTCTCTCTCTCTCTCTCCCTCTCTCTCTCCTCATTATTTTCACTCTTTCATATTGTGTGTAAAGCATTATTATACTGTATTTCCATTTGCAGGCTTGAATACATTTGTGCTATTGAACGTGTCCTATGCTCTTCGCTATATCGTCAATGGCTGTGTCATGCTCGTAGGTGAGTCGCTCTAACTAATACAGTGTGTCTTGGAAACCCTCCCCCCAAAAAACAACAACAACAACAACACACTCTTGAATGGCAATAACTCGGCGTTCTCTACACCAATTTTATCACCCTTTCGAACAAATAAAATTCAACCAGGGGGACGCCAAGTTTGTAAATATGAATAAAATCAATCAATGTGTAAAAAAAAAAAAGTCAATTTTTGCAAATTTTAACCAACATTGTGTAAAAAGGCAAAACTTAAGTTCCGATATAGGTTCAGTAAAATGGGCGAGCTTGGCCTGTTCTAGTCTCCGGCCAGGACGATTAAAAGCCCCAACCGTCACACCTGACCGTGATACGATAGTGCTGGCTACCAGCATCTGTGGTGTAGCGGTTAAGCGCTTCGCCGTCACACGCAGAAGACAATAATATCTGTCTTTCTGCTGGAACGTTATATCCATCTCAACCCGGGTTAGCCCTGACTTTCGAGAGAAAAGCAGCCCGCCACGTGAATGATCTAAACAGTGTCGATAGGGGAGTAAAATCCTACACGTTTTTAAAACTTAGTACTTAGCTTGATCCCATTGGAGATGGTTGAATGTTGGAGTTCCCATTTTGTAGATGACATTGTAGATTTGAAAGAAGTTTTAGACCTACATCCTACACTGTACTACTCTACCTTACTAATTATTGACTGAAAACAGTGGTCATTCAAACTACACTCAGTAATATTACAACTTAAACACCTTTAGACAGACGATCTTCGTTTGGTCAGCAGTTTTAAACATTGAGCTCAGGGAAAAAAGGGACTTTGAACTATTCTTACAATTAATCTTGAGGTAAAACAGGGGTGGATGTCTTATCACATGTTATTGATTTCTGTTTGTTCCTCCTCTATTGTCTTTCCTTTCAGGTTTGTTTGGCATTGCCTATGCATTCAACTTTGGATTTGCCATCGCGTGCATTGTAAGTGAGTGTTGTTTTTATACGAGAGTTGCATGTGCGTGCTTTCTTGTTGTTTATAACTATGATTAGACTTTTTTACTTTCGTTCTTGAAAAACGGAAAGAGGTAAAGAGAGGGAGAGAGAAAAGAAGGAGAGGGATACAGAGAGATAAAGAGAGAGAGAGAGAGAGAGAGAGAGAGAGAGAGAGAGAGAGAGAGAGAGAGTGGGGGGGAGGGGAGGACTAGAGAAAGGCAAAGAAGGGAAGGACACATATTGGGAGGGAGGTAGAGAGAGAGAGAGAGAGATCCTTTCTATTGTCAGTGATGAAATGAGAATGCTTGAAAAAGAGTGAGTATAATGGGAAAGAGCGGTGGTGATGATGATGATGATGATGATGATGATGATGATGATGATGATGATGATGATGATGATGATGATGATGATGCAAAAATGTGAACGTTTTCCATAGAATAAGCAAGCTTGATTGAATGTGTCTATATTCAATTGCAGGCTGTGCTGGGTTCTTCAGCTGCTTTTGGAGAAAAGTAAGACAATTTTTTCCCTTTGAATATAATATTCACAACTTCGACTGTAGGTTTGAAATAATAGCTTACTTAAGCCAGCAAAACGGTGGAAGGGGTTGTCGAGAGGATAGAGACTTGAACCACATGAAATATGAGTGTGTTTGTCCATAAAAACTTATTCGATGTCCAAATTAATGTTGTATTAATAAGCAACTGTTCAGTCTTCACAGCCGATAGCGTTTGTGTTATTCTTGTCCGTCTTTTATATTCTGCGGGGGATGACGCATGCTATAGTTTGGACAGGGGGGCTCTCGTAGCCGAGAGGTTAAGGTGTTCGCTTCGCATTCAGAGATCTCGGATTCGAATCCGGGGAGCGACCGAAACAATTTCTTCTCCAAAATTGTCTCCTTTCACCTCCTTTCCTGCTCTCTAGTAACGGTCTGTCGTCTGCTTTCACCTCCACTTTCTGACCCAAACCTCTCACCTCCTTTGCCCCCCTCCTCTAGACTTCTGACTCTTTCTGCAACCTTTCTACTGCTACTCCTTGGCCCCTTCTTACTGCGGTCTTTCATCCTCACCCCAGATCTTCTGGGGGAAAGATCTACACCTAACTTTCTCTGACAAGGGTGAAAAATCTCGGAGGTCCTGTGTACAAGTTGCGTACGTCAAAGATTCCTTGGTGGTCTAAAATCGATAAGAATAGGCTTCGGCCGTCACCCGTGCAAAATTCAAAACAACCTACCAAACCGAAAAATGTTCAATGTGCCCCTTGCGCTCATGTGATCTTATACAGGTACCCCCCCCCCTCCAAAAAAAAGGTCTCGACAACACCAAGTGGACAACTTGGCGACCTCATTACACAGAAAAAAATTGGCGAATTGCCTTGATTTTTTGCACGTGCCTCTGAATTTCAAAACAACTGAAAATCTTGGTATTCGTGCATATGCAACAAAATAAAAGTGGTGTTTTCTATAATTATAATCATTAGTATTTAATTACAGTCTTTGAGATTGCAAGCTTTTCAATTTGCTGTCGCTGTTTCATTACTCACCGTGATTCAATTACTTAATTTATAAACAGAAAGTCCAGATTTTTTTGGTCTTTTCAAATTCAGAGGCACATGAAAAAAACTCACTGAGATTTTCCTCTTAGATTCGGTGTAATGGGGCCGAGAAGCAGTCCATTTGGTGTTGTCCGGACTATAGCATTTTGCGGTATAACGGCAAGGCACTTTACTACCTCACGCAGAAAAGTTCTGTTCCCGAGTGGGGAGAACATTTATCGAGGCTCTCCGTATTTCTGTTGCTACATTGTATCCCTCTCAACCATGTTTGACATTGAAGCCCGTCTTCAAAAGAATCTAAATTGTGTCGTTGAGTGTGTGTAACATTGACGTTTAAAACAAAACAAAGATGATGACACCTGTGATGAGTAAACGTGTGACAGAAAGTGAGAGTTGAAATGACAGCATTGAAATGCTTAATATTTAGCATGCTATTGACTGACCAGACAGTAAAAACAAAATAGAAGCTACAGACATGTGGTTTCTTCGGAGACCGCTGCAAATTTCTTGAAAGGAAAAGAAATCAAATGAGGTAGTAATTGAAAAAGCCCACATTGACCGCTGGCTGATAAAAAGCAATGAAGAAAAAATGTTGTTTCTGGGACATGATTTGAATTGACATAAAGGTCTCGGACATTTAGCCCTCACTGGCAAAATTAAAGGTAAATGAGACAGAGGCAGACACATAGCAACCTAATTGAGAACCTAAACACATGAGTGACGGGGAAAGATACGTATTATAATGTAGCTTTTCTAAGAGAACCCTAGCAAATGAATGAATAAAGAACCATGATCGCCGATGATTGTTGTATATTTGACACTTGATGATGACGTTAAATCAATAAATTGATGTCTCTTCAGTGGTTGGTCTAAGTGGCATAGATGTTATGTCATCGTTCTTTTTCCAGAAGCTGGTCACTTCATCTTCTTCCATTGACTTTAATATATCATTTTTCTGTCTATCTCCTGGTTCTCAAGTTGTGGCTATGTTTAAGTTATGCCTCCTTTCCTGGCATCTTTGCGCCTTACCAGAAGGCATCGTTTTTTATCATACAGTACATAGAGTTTGCTTTTTAGCGGGAATTTGCGTATATACAACTTGGTATTTGTTATTTATTATAACCCTTTCCTCCTTATATTTTCAAACTGTAGTTTCACCCTTTCTAAAGGAGTGTTGATATAGCAGTCACGAAATAAAATGTGTCGCGACGCGATGGAATTAGGGGCTCGTCAATTTTTGGGCATGCAGAGTTATCGATATCATCTTAAAGTTTGTTTATTTGTCTTGCTTTGGAAGAAAAAAAAATTGTCCATTTATCTTGAATAGAAGTAAAGATATTTGTGAATGAAAGAGGTGGAGGCACCTGTTTCAGAGGGTAAACACATGAGAAAATGGACACCAAAGATGAGTATGAGTTATTTGTTTAGATTGCGAGTCCATGAAAAATGAAAATTTTCATTTTTGTGCCTTTAATCGCCGTTTTTCCAGTAAAACCCACACAGAAATATGTTCTTAAATGGGCATGAAAGGTGTTGAGCCAAAAAAACGAAATCCTATAAAAATTCATGAACCTGCGAGAAAATGCCAGTTTCTTCACTTTAATTATTTTGACGAGCGACTGATTTCATCACGCCTGCCTCAAAAATATTAAAACTAAGTTATTTTCCTATGAATCACTTAATGCCACTCTGAACTACGAAGGAAGGAGAAGACATTGATCGTAAATCAGTCAGTAATTTCTTAACAATAGTTTTAAATCGAACAATGCTAACTGAACTCCAGCTTTTGATTTTAAGAAAAAGAAAAGTACAGTGTTTAATCTACCCTTTTGCTGGCTTTCCTTGCCACAGTGTGACTCTGGGTTTCCTGTCCTGGTTCCCAAGTTCCCTGGTCAGTGCTTGGTCAAGCGGAACTGGAATGGCCGGCGTTCTGGGCTCCACACTATTTATCATCTTTGGTAAGTTGAACTGTGAATATAACTTGAAACAAAACCATTGCTTGTTTGTTTTTGTTTTGTTTTAGTACCGGAATAACACCTAAATGGGCACATGTAGGTCACTTCACAGGCAGGCTCTGATTTCATCTCTGCAGTAAAAGAAGAACGCCTATATCTGTATGGGCAAATATCTTTGTTTAAAAATCACAGGTACAGGGTGCATAAGAATGACAAAGTGAGAAGTTGAAATGAAAGACGAAGGAGAAAGAGTCTAAAATAACAATGACAATGACAAAAAATGCCACAAAAAAACCTCCCCAAACCTCCTTCAATAATAACAACTAAGAAGAAGAAGAATAACAACAACAACAATACCCCCCCCCCTCCTCCGCGCTCCCATTTCACACACACACACACACACACACACACACACACACACACACACACACACACACACACACACACACACACACACACACACACACACACACACACACACACACGCACGCACATACACACACATAAGATCAAACTCCAAAAGCAAAGATTGCTTTGCTTTTGACTCAAAGCCTTAATTACCCTTAATTCCTAATCGTTATCCTCCCTATGCCCTTGACAACCTACTTTCACCACAAAAGCCTTCTGCTTCTACATTCGTTATTTATATAAACTTTCACTTTAGCTATGTTTGATCACATAATCTTGATGCAGTTTTTAAGACTAAATCTTTAAAAAGTTGGTTTGTTTCGACAATCCTTACTTGTGACTTAGCACACGACGATAGGTAACTCCACTTTGGCGGAAATGAGACTTATTTTCCACCTTACAACTTGAATAATCTCTTTAGTAAGTGAATTGTATCGAAACAAATTTTCGTTATGAACTTTGCACAGTTCTTTAAACAAAGAGTGTACAATTCTTCTAAATAAAACTGAAACAAACCTTGTTGTACACGTGATCAAAAGGGAATCTTTCTCATCAAACCATCCTCCACCCGACCACGCCAAAAAACATCAAATAACTTTTACACAAAAAACCTACAACGCCCCAACAACCAAAGGCTAACAAACCCAAAAACCAAACAATCAGGCCTTTGCTATGTACTTTTCTTCTTGTCTCACCTTTGCCCTTTACCTTTTTCCCAGGATGTGCTGTCGGTCACGGGGATTCAGAGACAAAAGAACTGAAAAACCTGGACAAGTAAGTTATAATATGCAACGAGAAATTTCCATTGACAATTAGGAGTCAATGCAAGCCCCAGGGAAGCTGCCAGCCCCCACCCTCGACATTAGCAAACAAAAATGAGAGGTGTCGTGGTGAAATCAGTTGCTCGTCAAAATAACCATTTTTCCGCTCGATGGGCAATTTTTATCGAATTTATTTCTTTTGCTCAGCACTCTCTTTGTCAATACAAATACAATTTGCAGTTTCCAAAGGCTTTCGAGCTTCGGAAGTCACTAAATTTTGGCGGCAATTTTTCCCGCTAATTTTACCTCTGCGACACTAGGCGACCGCCATCTCCTTCAATCGCAATTATCTTGACATCTATTCACGATAGAAGGGTATTTCTTTTACCCAAAAAACAAGACAAATGAATATGTTTTTAAGGCGATTCCAATACGTCCTATGTCAAAAAATTGACGAGAGCCTGATTCCACCATGATGTGACACACATAAAAAGCATAGGCATACAACAAAGGGCATGTCATTGTAGGTGTCCTGCATGCATTTTAAAACAATTGTGGAATAAAATCAACAAAGCTCAACAAAAGCCAACCTAACTCATTAAAATTGATGATTGTTTTCTACTTTTCAACAAAGTACTACATTAAGAATGGTTCTGTTGATAAAGACTGAAACGACTCTCACTATGACGAACGATCGATATAATATAAAATAGATGAATTCATAGATACACAAAAAGGGCTTACATAGATATAGAACCTAGTCTAATATAGACACATGTGGGCAAGAGTTTGACAGATAGATAAATGAACATCTGAGTGAAAAATGTTTTGCACGTAATCGACTTTGAAAAAAACACACAATAAAGTTTTCAAAATTTATAAATTAGATCTAATTGTTTTCAAATAAGTAATGTACAGAGGCCTTCTAAAAGACTTTGGCTAGAGTGTGCATTGCAATTATTATTTTACAAAATAACTTTGGATAGTCCTTTTTTATACTTCGAATTGAAGTACTTTGGCCTTAAGTATGTACATTGGGCATGTTTTATACTTAGATAGATAGATAGATAGATAGATAGATAGATAGATAGATAGATAGATAGATAGATAAATAGATACATGTAGATAGATAATCCTACTACTGCAATCAATAATTCATTCATTCATTCATCCAGTGCTACATCTGCGGCAGACATCGGCGATCATGGTTCTCCATTCATTCCTCTGCTCGAATGCTCTTAGAATAAGCTACGTTCTCCTGATCTTTCCCCTTTACCCATTTCCTTAGGTTCCCTGAGAAGGTTGCTCTGGGCCTACCCCAGCCTCGTTTGCCTTCAATTTTGCCAGTGAGAGCTAGATGTTCAAGACCTTTATGTCTAATCAGGCGTCCCAAAATCTGCATTTGTCGTTTCCTGATTGTTTTTAACAGTGAGCGTCCCGCGCGGGCTTCATCAAGCATTACATCATTTGATTTCTTTGCAATCAATTAGCGAGTAAACACAACTCAAATAATATTTCATAATTCCCTTATAGGTACGCCTTTCTGCTGACAACCCCTGTGGTACTTGTCTATTGGCTGGCGTATTTCGTCATTATAAAACGACCCGCCATCAACGATGACGTCGATCGAGAGATATCTCCGGGCCCAGAGGGCTCCAGTCAGGAGGTGGTCACCCATGAACCTACTGATGACGACATCGTCGTTGCCAGGAACGCTGAGATCATGAACAATATTCAAGGTCACTGCCGACTTACTGATTTTTATTTGTTGTTTTTCCATTATTGCTTGACTGTTATTCTTTTTTGTTTTTTCCTCGATATTTGTGCTGCCCTAGCCTTTGTTGCTTTACCTTGAAGAGTGAGTTTTTGTTATTGACTCTTAGCGTATAAGTATAGTCTCTCCCCCCCCCCCCCCCCCCCCCCCCCCCCCCCCGATCCGTTTTCCTTTCCTCTACGGTACCTCCTGATTTTTAAGCTCTAGGTTACGCAGTTAGTTGGGAATAAGGATTAAACTTTACTTTAACCCGTTTCACTGTCGTCCTTCTCAGTTTAAATGTCTAAAACAGTCGATGATTGTTCTGTTCTAGATGTTTCTATTTTATTGTTGTCGTTGTAGTTGCGATTGATGTCGTTGTCATCGTGACTGTTGATGTTTCTTGCTTCTTAATGTTATTATAATATTTTCGCTGTTGTTCTGTTTGCTACAATGATTTAGACCTAGTCGTCGTGTTTTGTTGCCATGAATGATATTGTCATACTGTTATCTCTTTGTTGATTGTTGTCATCATAATATATATATATATATATTATATGTTGCTGTTTCTCTTGGTGCTAGGCCACTGTTGATCCTATTTTTGGTTTTTATTTGTTTTGGCGAAGTTGTCGTCACCGACCTTGTGGTGGTGGGGTCGTTTACGAAACAACACGGTAACAGTTCTATGTTGAAAGCTTTCATTCATAACATCACCATCCCCACTCTCCAGATTTTGACCTCCCTTTTCTTCGTTGTTTCCTCTTCCTCCCCCCC